GAAAGAGGTCTCATCCTGCCCCTGGGTCTCCTAGAGATCCTGCATGTTATTTGTCAGGCCTGTGCAAATGTCTTGGATATCCTTGAATACCTCAGATCTTCTAAAATTCTTTTAGATAACTGTTTAAACTCCTGAATGCTTTTATATTGTCAATTTAATTTCATATGTAGATTATATTTTTGGTGATCAAATGAGCTTCTGCTAGTTTACTGAGTACAGAATAGTTCACCACCTGCAGCAGGTTGCATTTCCAATACTAGAAATCAAAAATGATAGAGCAAAACTTATTCTTACCAAATAGATGACAGCAGCAACAATTTTATGGCTTGAAAACTTAAGGAAGACATGTTCTTTAGTCTGTACGTTTTTGATTTTCAATATTCACAAGTCAATAGGACCAAGATGTTGAGCACCTTAAAAAAATTTTCTACTTTCACCTATCTACTTTGTTAGTCAGTGACAGATTTTATTTTCTGTGCTGAGTGTTGCAAAATTTCTTGTAATTTTATTTATATGTGACTGCAAGCTACAGAATGTTATTAAAAATGCAGCTTTCTGAGGGTAATAAAAAAGAGAAGATTAAATATTTTAACTAAATATGCTTCTGTGGTCTTTTTTATAAAAAATTTCAGAATAAAAAGGCTTAAAAAAACAAACCTTCCAATAGATTTGTAAAGTTTTGCTGAGTGTTTAATTTTTAATGCTTCCTGTATATAAGAGGAAAAAGAAATGCAACAAACAGAACTGTTCAGAGAGTACTTTGATCTGGAAAATACCAAGCTGGCAGGTGCAAGAAAAACAACTGACACCAATGATTAATCTGTCCTTGCCACTCTGGTATAAGCAACTCATGCAGACTCACCATCTTTAGGAGAGAAATTATCAAACATTAAAGGGCACAAATCCCCCTAAAAATCCTCAGACGTGCGTTTCCCTTCTTTTTGTAAGGATAAAACAGAAGGAGACCAGTACCAAAACAGAAGGACTGTAGCTCCCCTACTATCCTCTTGTATGATGGTCTTTGTACTAAAAATAGATTGTTTGCAAATGCAACTCAGTCTATTCCCTGCTGAAAGATGTTCCTAGCTCTATCTATTTCTGTGCATTTTTAGCTTAGCACCTTCCCATCAAGCAATGGAGCATGAACAGTTCCTACACTCCTAAGGGCTTCCTGTCTTCCCCGCTATTTAGTTTGGTTTGGCTGGAGGGATCTGGCCCAAGAATGGTGAAAGGAAGTCTGGTTTCAAACTTCTTGACCCTGCTAACACACTGGACATTTTCTCCCACAAATGACTCGATGTTTTCACTTTCAGATAGTAGAGGACTGGAAGACTGGAGAAAAACTCCGTTCAAGAAAGCTGAGCTGACAGCTCTTTCAAACTACAGAGGGCAATAAAATACACAAATCATGCTGAAATTGCCTTGCAAGAGCCAGTTATCTGCTAATCTATTGGGGAAAAAATATCTGCACATGGAAATCATTTGGAGGGATGGGGAAAATTTGGTTGATCTTGATTTAAATCCAGGAGTCCATAGCCAAGCCAATTTCCAGTTGCTCTTAGTGGGATATTGTGTTGAGTTTGTGCGGCATGGTTTGGGTTTGGGGTGTTGGGGTGGACACCTACAGGGATGGCTTCTGTGGGAAAATCCCTTCTACCAGAAGCTTCCCCCATGTTCAACAGAATCAATACCAGCCAGCTCCAGGATGGACCTGCCACTGGCCAAAGCCAAGCCCATCAGCGATGGTGGAAGAGCCTCTGGAATAACAGATGTAAGGGAGCAGTGTTAGATCAAGGGTTGGACTTGATGATCTTGGAGGTCTTTTCCAACCCAGTTGATTCTATGATTCTAAAAGTTACTGCAAAGAAGGAAACTGCAGTCAGAGAAGAGAGGAGTGAGATTATGCGAGAATAAGAGCAGGAGGTGCTCCAGGCATCAGAGCTGAGGTTCCCCTGCAGCCCGTGGTGCAGACCATGGTCAGGCAGCTGTGCCCCTACAGCCCATGGAGGTCCACAGTGGAGCAGAGATCCACATGCAGCCCGTGGAGGACCCTATGCTGGAGCAGGTGGATATTCCCAAAGGATGCTGTGACTCTGTGGGAAGCCTATGCTGGAGCAGGCTCCTGGCAGGAACTGTGGCCCCATGAAGAGAGCAGCCCATGCTGAAACAGGTTTGCTGGCAGGACTTGTGACCCCGCAGTGGACCCCTGCTGGAGTAGCGTGTTGCTGAAGGACCCCATGATCAGACTGGTTTTTAGATTTTTCAGACATGCCAATCCATACTTCTCATTGAAGACAGACACATCTTCCTTCTCCTGGGTTTCCTTGGAAAAACTGATGCTGAAGAATTTTTCTAGGGCTCCAATTCTGCAGATGCCTCTTGTGAAAAGTATTTACTGAGTCTGGGCAACTTGAATTGGTAGGAAAGCAGGGATTTTCTATGGGAAGGGCTGAGTGCTGGCTATAAATAAAATGAATTAAGTACCAAGTTGCTCCTTTCCCCACTAAATACTCAAGACTGAATGAGCTGCCTGCCTCAAGCAGGACACATTCTGGGAAAGTTTAGCAGAGACTGATAGAAGTGCTGAGCTTTCTCCAATCCATAAAAAGTAGAGGGAAGGCTCATGACAACCCTGAGGACTGGGTCTGTAATCAGCCCCATGCTTTGCGGGGTGGAGTTCAGATTCAACCTCAGCAGTTTTTAATAGGACAATTTAGTCCTTTGAAATTTGGTTCTGGTCATTGGAAACTGACTCAGCCACTGTAGGTACACCATGTCTTGGTAGGTCTCAAAGTGTAGGTCTTCAGTTCTGGACTTTTTTTCTATATATGAATTTTCCAACTAGGTCATCACTTAGAAGATAGTAATAAGTGCTCCTACTACTCAGTGACTATTCAAGGGACTCAGCGACTGCAGTGGCAGAACAGTGACAACGTTTTTTACTGCACTAGGAGAGGAAAGCCAAGCCTTGCTCTGGATCCATGCCAATGGCCATTTAAAACCAGACCAACCATTTCTGAGCACCTACTCGTCTGAGCTGGGGAGTCAACTCGAGCTAGATGTGTCACTGTTGATGAACATCATTTATCCATGCTATCTTGATATACAGCACTTCCAGCTCTAATTCTAGATGGATGTAGTCCAGAGTTTAGACCACAAACTTCAGTAAATCTTGAACTATTTAAGATAGAAGTTTTAATATTTGCACTACAATATTTATCAGGTAGTCAGGTCACATAACCCATCTGTTTCCTGAGAACTGAGTTTCTATTGGGAATAATCCCAATTTGTATTTCCATACAAAGCTGTAGTGGCTGAGCATATCCTTGGCAGAAAGCTCTAGTTTAGAATATTTGAGGACATATTTTTTTTGTTTGACTGTGTTCACCCACTGTTTCTACTAAGAGGAATTAAAAGTTTTTTTCCAGTGTCAGCCTTTCTCTGGTTCTGCCACCTCTAATGAATGGTCAGTTGAAGTATTCCTGAAAGACATAAACCCCATTAAACTTGAATCTTCAGTTAGGAAAATAAAATTTAAGGAAATTGTAGTTTGTTTATATTTTAGATGGGTTCTTCAAGCAGACAAATGAAAGACTTATTAATATTCCAGACTTTCTTGTCCATTTCTCTGGTCAGGCCAATGCACACATCTCACAGGCTGATTAGTTTTCTGGCAGTCCTACTTAAAATTACCTTCTTAAGTAATTCTTAAATGCTGTGGTTTATTTACTTCCAGTAGCTATGAGGTGACATGTCCTCCCCTTTAGCAGCAGTAGTTTATACACATGGCTATTTTTTTAACTTATGCATAGCTAAAATGAACCAATCTGTTGCTTTTCAGTGTCCAGCTCAACAAGACAGTGAGTCAGCACACAATCACTTCATTAGGAATGGAAGATGCACAGCATGAAAGAAGAGACTTACTGGTTCAAACTCTAAATAAATAAGCTACACTTTCAGGTTTTTATTTTGGCAATTCATGTAAAATATATGAGTACTTTACTCCTGCAAACACCCAAATATCAAAAATAATAGCTTCACTAATGAAGCACAGCTTTCTTCCCATTGATCTCTCCATTGATTGACTGAAAAAAAAAAAATCAGGTTTTTTTGACACCATGGGATCTCACTGAAAAATTTTTGCTGAAATTTCTATTCTTGATGACTAGCCTGCCAGTGAATAGTCTTGTGGTGTGGGTCTGTGTCTGGGTTTGGAGTATCTAGGTTCACTTCCTCCTCTGGGTTGTGCTTTCCCTCACCTTTTGAAGCTGATCCATCGTGAAAAGAATATTTAACTGTTCAGCTAGGGAAGAGGAGCGTATTATCCAATGTCTTGATGCAGTTTTGGTCAGACATAGAGCTGGGATGAATGAGCAGGTCTGAACACAGGGGCAGGTATGTCCATAATGAATCGAGTGGATCACTGCCTGGCATGCCCTGCAGCATGGCTGCATGCCTGTCAGATGTGTGGATGGATAAATCGAGCTTCTCCCCCTGAGAAACGTCTCCTCCCTTGCTGTGCTGGTGGGCAACAGCCCTAACAGCTCCTCTTGTCAGGTTCTTTCAGTCCTGCTTTTGTTTAAAATGCCTGAAATGGAAATGAAATCTTGTTCTTGGCTGGGAGGTCTTACTCAACACAACACGTTATGTTTTCAAATTTGGTCTATTTCCAAATATTTGTGCTGATACTTACCCACATTTGGCATGGGATATAGAATCCTCTAACCCTCTCTTGGTACAAAAATATAAAGAACATTCTTCAAACCATTCACAAAGACAAATTTGGTTATTTCCAAACTGTAATACTTTGCAGACAAAACTTTACAGATTTGATATACAACGATTTTGACAAGTCTTTTTCCTGCTGGACTTTTGCTACAAACAGGTATATGTAGAAGAACTTAAATACGAATTAGTAACTTTAGTTAGGACAAATACTGCAAATACTATTCAAATAAACAAAATATGCAATATAAGAAAATTTCACAGTTTTTACTTACTTTCTTTGTTTTGTCCATTGCCTTCAGTATGGTTATGTTTAAGTCTTCCAAAACAGATAGAACATTTTCATACTCTCCTAAGTGCTTGGAAAAATAATCTAAAAGAAATAAAAAAAAAATCATCTATTAATTACCTGAAAAATCAATATTTAATTAAATATCAGTTTTACTAACTCTCAATTCAGTTCATTTAATAATGGTATTATTAAATATGTAAATATAAAATGATAAGGAATGAGAATGAAAAGGATAATTTTATTTTTTAATTTGGTATTATTTCTCTGCAAAATCATTCCTGGAATACTTAAAATACCAAAATCAGTATTTCAAAACATTCTCTTTCAATAAATGAGTTGCCAAAATGACAAAAAATTTACAGTATCAATTTGATAGCTGAAACAAACTTATTTTCAAAATATCTACGTTTTCTTTGCCAACTTGATTTTTAGTCCAATAGTCTACTTTACAGGTACTAGCAGGAAATGAAGTTTTCATATGTATGTACTAAATTGAATTATATTGATACAAAAATGAATAATTCTGGTAAAGCCCTTAGAGGAGATAAGATGAAGTCGGGGCTGTTGTGAGTTGTGGTTGGCTGAGACCAGTTGTTTCTATCCAAGAAATTAAGAGACCATGAGTTGGCCAGATAAACTTCTAGTCCCAGCTACTATGATTATATTTTCAACAAGTATGATGCATGCAATATACTTTTTCATGAAAATCATGGAAATAACAAATTGCAGGATGTTCTTGTGTAGCTGCTTAAAGCAAAGAACATTTTAACAGAAAGAGCTGATGTAAAATCAGGGGGCACAACTCAATCAGAGGGATTACAGCAAGAGAAGGAAGCAAACCTGGGAAATCATGACCTGAGTTCCCATTGGTTGATGTGGGGAAATATAATAGAGGGAGACACAGGAAGGAAAAAGTGTGAAAAGGAAAGAAAAAAAATTATATTAAAGCTAGAGACTGTGTTAGACAAGACATTTAGATATCAAATCACCTAGAAAAGCACAAAAAGCAACATCTAAATGGCAGATGGGAAGAACAAGATTAGATAAGGTCTTTTTGAAATAATAAATAGCAATACTTTGAAGCTTTTAAGAGGTCAGCATGAGCTTCTCAGGGGAATCACGAAAGCATAAGTTACCAGGAACACTTCAACATAACCTGGTATTGCTAAGAGGTTGAATGAAAACATATTGTGAATTAATATGTGGATGTTTTTTCATTTAATTTCTCAGGTGAACTGAGATAACTCAGGAAGAGTTGTATAATCACAAGCTCAAACAGGTGTTGAGTAAACTTGGTACCAGATTCACAGATGAGAAACACTCTGGTAGCAGCATATGAAAGATTTAAAAGGCAGCTGAAGCAACTCATATTTAATCAAAACAGACAGCAAACAGAGTCAGTGCTGGATTAACACCCCCCTCAGCCCATCCAGCCTGTAAACCTCCAGTACAATGTCAACAGCAGTAAATCCCTTGTGGAACAAAACCTGTCTTCCTTGGCCAGGTTTATACAATTTTAACCAGATGCTCAACCAGCACTAGTTGTCACAGCCCAATTCACTTCAGATGAGTCTCTTGTCATATATTTGTAAGCCACAGGCTGAGGTACCTCTTAGTGGGTTCTTGGCCATGGGAAGAGTCATCCTGTGGGTAAGTAAATGAGCTTGTTTTCAACTTGACAGTACTTTCAGCTTTTAAATGTCTTTAACATTGTTGACCATTGAAACTTAGCAGGCTACCAGCTCTCCCTCAGAAAAAGGCTGGCGTTGACAAGTATAAATGTTGAGGTTTTTTTTCCTGACATTCTGTGGGAGGACTTGCAAAAATCTTATGTGAATTGTTTTCTGCTGGAAGCAGAACTCCTAAATCAGGGGCTGTAGGATCAGCTGGAGAGCAAACAAGGTGTTGGAGAAATGATTCACAGCCCAGAATAGGGTACAGAAATAAGTAATTGGGCCAAATTCTAGCCCTTGCAAGAGTTTTACTGTCATGAAGGATGATAAAACTTCTCAAACTGCTGTTCTCGCTGGCTCAAGTAGGAGGAAAGCAATGAATTTTCCTCCAGTGGGGTACTAATATGACAATCTTTTTCAAAATTCCTAAAGCAGTCATACTTGTTAAAATGCGAAACTAACTAGAAAAAATATCTCATATGAGAGGGAAATAAGATAAAAGCCATCTCTCTATTTTTCTATGTATCAGAACAAATTTTGAATCTCGGAGAATGTGAAGTACTGGGTAGGAAAAATATTTTCAAAGTAGTTTCTGCACATAGTGGATGATAGAGTCTGAAAATATTATAAGCCATCTGCATTTTCCCAGGAGTTCTTTGAGTGGAAATTATTTCCTGTTTGAGCTACAAAGATTAAACAGAAAAAAATAATCACATGGTATGTTCATTTGCACAGGGCTGCCGCAGGCATAGATTATGTTCTTTCCCAAAAAGGAACTTACCACAGAGTTCTTCTGTGTCAAGATTGCTGGAAAGATAAGAGTATAGAGGGTTAGTGAGCTTAGTAATATTTTTTTTGTTGGATTGGTAAATAGTAGGACTCAAAGATTAGCCTGACTAGGGTATGAAACCCCCCTGCCTGGGCTGCAGCAGGAGTTGAAAGTGCCTGGCCCTTGCTGGCCTTGCTCTGCTGCCTTAGGGAGGCTTGTCTGAAGCAGAAGGCTGCAGCCTTGCTGAAGCTGGTGGCAGGTGCAGCCTCCCTTCATGATCACATTCCCACTGGCACCTTCCTACTCATTAACAACCCACTTTGATGTTCCTTGCCCAGCCTTTGTGCACCATGGTGCAGGGTCACTGCTCCTCAGGCCTTACACATTTGGTCCCAGTTCTGGCAGAAATCTATCTAAACATCAGAAATGTTGGTGGGTTTTTTTCTCCACCTTTCTGCCTGTACTCCTCTTCTGTGGACAGTGGGGCTCAGAGACCTTGGCCCTCCATGCTAAATGAGGAAAAACCCAATAACTTTCTCCCATTTGCAATCCTTCTTGTGCAGTAGTGTTCCATGGGAGAGACAGTACAGTAGGAGGATAAAACCAGACATATTCCATCAGCACTCATAATTTCCAACGCTTTCTGGCCATACAAAACCATTTCACCACTACTAGCTTCAGCAAGATTAGTGATAAGAAAAGTATAGCTGTATTGCCATATTCCCATGCCATTATATAAGTACATAAATGCAGGCAAGTATTCTATACAATTCAAACCTGTTCACTTGGAACAGATTTTGTCTTGATCAACTTTGAAGTGATATTTTCTCTCATAAGCAATATTTTCTCTCTGAGGCCTTAATAGACAGAAGAAAAAAAAATTTGACCTACAGCTCATTACTTAAAGTTAGCATATTGACTTTCTTCCAAGGAGGAGAAGAAACTGATTATTAAAGAAACTTAAAAGCACGAATGTCCTCTTTGAATCTTGCTGAGGGGTGAATATTGAACGGCTGATTGCACTTAGGGTATTTTCACTTATCTTTTTAATGGGATTCTTTAATTGACCTTTTAATAAAATGATGACACAGTGCTATCTTAAAATCACTTTCACCACTGCTAACTTCCATACATCTGGCTTTTATTTCACAAGGGAGAGAAACAGGGAAACTGCAGGATCCTGGGTTATCACAAACTTGCATACTCAGGACTATAAAAACTTCTGAACACTTTTAATTGATAATGTAAATGAGATTTTCACACAACTTTTATTAATTGAAGGTGACCTTATCTGCATTTGAACAGGCCAAGTTAGATGGCTGCCAATGAGACTTGCACCTGATTTTTTTTTTTCCAATGACCTTGGTGGAAGGTACAAAGAAATTCATAGTCTGTAAGAACAGGTGCTGAAGCTGAGAAACTTAACTCTTAGGTCAACAAATGATGTGATGGGAAAAAGTGTCTGCAACTCCTTAAGGCTTTTTACCACAGATCACTACAGCATCAGTGGTCAAATGTGTCTGACCACCCACTCCTGCAGTTCAGCAGTCATTTTTGGAACAGTCCAAGTGTTCACCCTTTGAATGCAAACTGAATTCCCGAAAGCTGGAAAATTGCCTGAGTCAAAAAGCCTTGACAGAATATGATGATGTTAAATGACAGGAGTTTGCTGTTATGATGCCTACTATTTGTTAATCATCCCTTCATTTTCTTCTCTTTCACATCATCTGCCCTAATGCCTTAATGTAAAACACATTTCTGCATTTCTTAATGTACAGTTTGATAACTATGTTTAAAATAGCCTTTCACAGTTACCCAGTCAAATTCATGCTCTTTTCAAATTTCGTATTTGAATCTATTCTCATCCTTGTCCTTCTGCAGTATCCTCAGTACCATGGTACTGATATAGGGAGTAGCTTGGAGGCTTTCAGCATCCCTGTTTTCAGTATGCTGTTAGTCTTATTGGCAGGAGTGGCACAGCTGCAAATGGACTACCAGTGCAGATGGAAAAGTATTTAGGTGCTGAATTAATTTTCAGTTAGAATTGGACATCTGAATAATGAGAAAAATATTATGCAAAGCAATTTTTGCAGCAAGCCTGTGACAGAACACAGAAAAGACACAAAGTACATGGATTTCAGTCTAGCATACTCAATATTTCTTTGTTATAAATACCCTTCATTGTTCTTGGCATCCTCTTTGAAGGGGATGCTGTTCTAGGCAGGGAAGCTATAATTTTGTGCACAGATTATTTCATTCTCTCAGAAATTATAACATGCTGCTTCAAACATGCTGCTTCAAACACAGTTGTGAACAAACCTAGGAGTTCTTTTGCTGCATACAAACAATTTTGCATCCCTGCAAGATGCTACAGAAATAATTAAAGAAATTTGGCTTGTACTTAATAATACAGGAGTGAGGTACACACCAGAGGGCTGTTTCTGTTACTCAGTACTCAGGTTTACAGCAGGCACCTGTTCATCATTTCAGTGGGTACACATGCCAAGGATGCTTCTGCTTAGACCTATAATCTGGAAATGCTGAACATGTTATTTGCGATATTTACTGGATGAATCACATCCAGCCACCAGCCCTCCACTCACAATAAGCAACTGAGGCATCGGGTGTAGCCAAATGTATTCACACTATGTTAGCATGTTAATTTTTTAAGTCCTGCTCTCAATTTGCTTTCTGACTACTAGATGCAGTCCTTCTACGTCTATGCCTAAAATGTTCTCTACGTAAAAACATGAGCTATTTTTAAAGAACTATTACACTGAGCAGTCCTGATCACTGCAAAGTTGATCATACCTGTTGCTCAGTGACAGAAAAATAAGCAAATTCACTTGAATGAACTGTGGCAAAAGTGCCTACTCATGCTACCTCTGGAAGTGGACCAAAATGTAGAACTGCAAAGCAGCTGTGATCTTTTTCTGCCCACCACAGTTAGCTGTGGACTGGGGGCTACCAGGGAGGAGGGAAGGTTAAAGCTATTCCACTCATTCACTGCTGTGGATCCACTGATCCACAACCCCACCCACTGACTTGACACATACTGTTCTCTGATAGGAAAGGCACCTCTAGGCAGAGGTACCAGCAGAAGATGTGGATATTTTCCCTGGACCACAAGAAGAGACAATGATATCTCTTCAGGAGTTATATACAAAGTATGGAGTCTGGCATTTAAAGCAGATACTTTATTGAAGAATCCAATACTATATGAAAGACTTTATGAACAAACCTAATTTAGAAAATTCATTGCCATGACATAGCTGGAGAAGGATAACACTTTCTTCTTCAGATCTCTCTCCATTCTCAGATATGCTAAGGATTTTTTCAGGAGCTTGAACCAACTCTCTTTTACATCCCATTTGCATGACTTTTTGCTAAATTTGGTTTTAGGGAGGAAGGTTCAAAGCTAGTATCACCTGTTGTTAAGTAGAAGTATATAATTTGTGAGTGAAAGGAATTATATATTACTTAAACTATGCAAGGGTGACTGCATAGTCATCCATGGACAATCTTGGCCAAAATGCTCTTTGCAACATGAAAGCCTGCATACCATCCCACTTTAAGTCAGCAAAAAGAGGTAAGTGCTCCAACATTACAGAGTGTTTCACAAAGGAGTCCTATGTGTGCACTTCCAGTTTAGGGGTTTTCTGTCTCACAGCTGCTTTGCATAAGTGAATACATTTCTATTCAGGTTTGTTCAAGGTTTCTTACCACTGGAGGCAAAACTGCCTCCAGGATGTTGCAGTGCTGTGATAGGCCCAGGTGTTGGCCTCTTGTCACAGAAAAGGAAGAAGGAGAGGAGGAAGAAGAAACAGAAGTGGGACAGAGCTCCTGAGTCTGTCCTTGAGGAGGCAAACTTCCTTCTGCCCTGAGGACACTGCAGCTATTCAACTCCAGGTCCAGCTGGACTGTGCATCTGCTGGACCCTCAAAGGCAGCAGCGAGCTTGGCTTTCTGGGCTCTGACATGGGCAGCAGGGTCATGGCTCTTTTAATGTCCCACATCCTGCTGCACTAAATAATTGCCTGGTTTCCTTATGCTTAGCTTCAGGCTAAGTGATAACTTCAGAATCATCCCTTACTGTTCTCCTGTGGCAAGACTGCAGGAGAGAATAAAGTTTTGATTTTTTTCTCCTAAGAACTCATCTGAAAAAACAATCCTCTAGTCCTTTGCATTCAGCAATGATTTATAGGGATGCAATGACTACATAGCTGACAAGTTATCTTAATCATCTGAGCTACACCAGCCTCTGTGTTGCTAAAAGAGGCTTAATAATACTATTAAAACTCAAGGTGTATGTCAAAATCTGTAGAGCATTGTGCAAGGGCTGCAGAGGTATGATTTTTTAGCAGAGTCTGAATGACACAAACCTAAATCAAACACAACATCATGGTGGCTCTTTTGCCACAGGGAACAAATTTCAGAGTTTTTACCCCATAGGACATGTTTTCATTTCTGGTTCTGTCTCAAAATGATTCTTAAAAAAAAACATGAGATTAAATTATTTATTTTTAGACAAACTAAAATGTTACATTGTTTTATTAAACTCCTTGGAAATACACATCTTGATAGAGGTGCCAAAATGTTGTGGTTCTCTGGGAAAGCCAGACTAGGACTAGGCTTTCAAACCACACCTACCATTAAGCAATGTACTCACTGCTGGGAAACCAATGTTATCTTCTGAAGAACTGAAATGAAACACTTTAGGTCAGCTCCATTTAGGTAAATGCAACTGAAAATAGTCATTACCATCTGATTTCCTCAGTGTGAGTGATTCTCACTTGTTTCTGCAGAAAGCTGAATTTCCCATTAAAAATAATCATCCATATGGAAAATTTTGAAGCAAAATTCTATTTGCAGCTTGTCTGTCTAACGAGAGGACCTAGTAGCATCAAGACTGTATAAATCATTCTCAGTGAACTTCTTTTGATCAGTCGTGAAATACTAAAATGAATAATCAGCTCACTCTGACCAGTATCTTGCCTTTGTCTCTGTGCTTCATTTTCAAACAGATTTCTGTAGCTATT